AAAGATAAAAGCCCAGAGGCAAAAGATAGATGGGATAGTTTAAGTTAAGAAAAGCTGGCTAGAAACAAGCCAAGCTAAGGCCAGCCATTTATAATTAAGAATAAGCCTCCGTATGTGATTTATTTGGGAGCTGGGTGGCTGTCCCCCTCCAAAAAAAAGAGTAAAGAGTAAAAACCAACCAACATTTTGGCCTTCCAACATGGGGCCGTAGAAAGCTGAACTACAGGGGTAGTCTGTGTCAGATTCTCAGTCTCCCCAGAACTCAGCACAAGGCCTGGAACATACAGCTCAACAGAGATGAGCTGTTCCTCCTCAGACCCTCTCCCAGGGATAGTAGGGCATGACTGCAGAGACATCTTCAGTCTAGACTGGGGACAGATGGTGACTGGGGCCTAGCCCGTGTCTCACTGTCTCCTGCCAGCTGCCTCAGCTGGGTGTGACACGTTCATAGATCTCAATAAGTTTCACACCCTTAAACTAAAGATAAAACGTGTTCCCAGCTCTTGGGGCACTGGGAGTGGGGTGGGGTAAAGGGCTTTTTGCCCCTGATCTAAATATCTCCATACTCTGAAAAACAAAACAAAACAAGGCTGGGCGGTGGTGGCAAACGCCTTTAATCCCAGCACTCACACTCGGGAGGCAGAGCCTGGCAGATCTCTGTGAGTTCGAGGACAGCCTGGTCTACAAAGCCAGTTCCAGGAAAGGTGCAAAGCTACACAGAAAAACCGTCTCGGAAAAACCAAAACAACAACAACAACAACACAAAACCCCAAAACCAAACCAAACCCAAAACAAAACAAAACAAAACAAAAAACCAGGTGGAGGGCTGGGGCTGGGTACTTGCCTAGCATGCCTAAGCACTAGCTCTACGAAGACACCCCCACAGGAAGTATTTGGACACTCCTTCCTAAATAGTAGAATGTAATACCCGCCAAGGACACCATCAGGGTGTTGTTCCTATTGTTGGAGGGGAAATCGTGGCGTTCAAAGCCTGGTCAGAAGTGACCCTCAAACAACCGCACACCCGACTTTCCTCTCACTGGAGGAGGGGGAAGGGTGGAGGGTAAGTTTCTCAACTAGTCGCTTCTCCACGGTCGCCCACCCCTCTCCCCCCAGAGTTCCTGGACCCTGGAAATCACGCCAGCGCCAACCTGTCAAGTTGTTGGAGATCCTGCAGTCCCCGCCACGGGTGCAGCAGTCTTGAAAGCGGCAGAACCACTCGGCGAGCCTATCCAGGGACCGCCGGCCCCACAGAGGAAGGCTCCAGCCTGGAAAGGAGATGCTATGAGATGGCGAGACGGTGATGAGCGAGACAACCCTGAGGTTTCTCAGTGACAGCGCCCAAGCCAGAGTCCGGGTCCCAACTCCCAGCCAGGCTCCCGCATGTGCTCCAGCGCTGCCTCCACGAGCCGCAGAGGCGAACGCATCTGGGGTTGGGGGGGCCAATCACCGGTTGTGTCTACAAAGGACTTTCTCTAAGCCATCAGTCAGGCGGGCAAGAATGGGGAGACTGTGAGTGTCTAGAGGAATCGGGGCCGGTGAGGCGCGGCAGGCAGCCAGACCTCTTGCTGTTCCCAGGGGCTGCGCCAGATGTGCAGTGGCCAGGCCTCCTAGTGCGCGGAGGCTGCCGCGGCTCCCGCTAGGTGCGCGACGCTGGTGAGGCTGGCAGGTGAGCGAGGGGGCGGGCGGCGGGGACCGCTCTTACCCAGCGGCGGCGCGGGGGGCTCCTGGTCCTCGCAGTGATCGGGCCACACGGAGCAGCTGAAGAGCGTCCAGTACCGTCTGGAGAGGGCCCCGACCGTCCTCAGCTGCTCCTGCAGGCGCTGGACACCCGGCCAAGGGGCCGGCTCTTCGGCCTCCTGCCCCGGGCTTTTGGCACCACGGTGGCCCTGCGTGCCCGGGGGGCGCAGTGGCATCAGCAGCAACAGCCAGAGGGTCCCGCGAAGCATGACTCTCCCGGCGCGCTTCCGCCTCTAAGAGTCCGGGACCCAGGACTCACGGACTCCCGCGCGGGCGGGCGCCGCCCAGGATTGGCGTCGCTATGGTGACCGGCCCGCCCTCCGCAGAGTGCGAGCCAGCTGCTGTTCTCAGACCCAGAACTCACCGGAACCGAAACCCAAGCTGGTGTCCCGGACTGCAGGAGTCCCGAGACCGTCTTGAGCCCCTGTCCACCCCACGGGACTCAGCCTATTCTGGGGCATGCCCGTGACCTCAAGGGAGTGACGGCAGGCCCTTAAATGGCCTTTGACAACCACTCAGCTGTGCCTCCCACATAAGGACTTCCTTTGGTGCCCAGCCCTCGCAGGAGGTCAGCTTTCTGCCAACCCCACGACGAGGAAGGCGATAAAACCGGCCAAGCAGGAAGCGTTTTGTTGGCACAGAGTCAGCTGGACCGAGACGCTGCCCCGGGAATATGAGCAGGATTGAGCTGGACAGCCAGGGTCGCCCCTGGTCCTCTGGAGAGGGAAATGAAACATAAGCTAGCAGTAGGCTTTCATGGGTGCCAATCTGGGAAAAGCAAGAGGAAGTCAGGCCGGGAGGTATTTGAGATTTGGAAACCCCCGAGTAAGGAGAAATTGTACCACGTGAGAATTACAGAAGTTAGCGTAAGTATTTGCCCACTCCTAGCTAGGTTTTTGAAGCTGATCAGACATGCATGGTGAGGCAGGCAGAGCTCTGTGGTGAGTTCAGGGCCAACCTAGTCTACATACCAAGTTCCAGCCAGGTACAGCTACATAGTGAGACTCTTGTCAATGTTCAGAAAACATTAAAGACCCAGGCTTGGTCCCAAGTTTGGCATCCTGGGGAGGTGGTGGAAATTAGTGAGGTGAACCCTAGTAGAGGTCTTTGGGTTAGTGGGTGGGTGGGTGAGCCATTTTGCTCTACCAACTGCTCCTGCCATGATGTGGGCTGCCCGCTTTCTCCAGAGGCCTCTGAGTAATGAACTGGAACCTTCCAGGCTATGAACCAAATAAACTTTTTCCTTGATAACTCTCTCTGGTATTTGCCACAGTGGCAGGAAGCTAACACACACCTTTATGTTTATTTGAAAACATTAACTCGGGGTTGGGGATTTAGCTCAGTGGTAGAGCGCTTGCCTAGCAAGTGCAAGGCCCTGGGTTCCGTCCTCAGCTCCAACAACAAAAAAGAAAAAAGAAAAAAGAAAAAGAAAAGAAAACATTAACTCACTCAATATTTGAGCAAGTGAGTCTGAATAGGCCTATATTCTGTGTGTAGGACGCGGGCGTTACCTCACTGGTCTACACCCTGACTGCTCCACCCACACTTCAAGGATGCTGTGAAGAGCAGTCAGAGGAGTTTCATATTCAGTACATGGCTACTTTTATTTCCTCATGTAGCAAGTATGTGCATTTATATGGAATGTGTAAAACAGCATACTGGACTCTAGTTACTACTAGTGTGTCCTGGAGAGTTACAGTGTAAACGGGGGCTAGTCCTGTTGGGCCCTGCCCCCACCCTTCCTTTGGTAGCTGTTGCCTTGCTTGCTGACCTTGACCAGGTGACTCCCTAAGCTGATCCCCTGCTGGTTTCCTTCCTCCTCCAACAGTTTACTGGGAGGTTCCTTGTTTGTGATCCTGCATTTGGTGTAAACAGCTAGGATGCAAGTATGTAAAACATCTGTAGCAAACTTCTGCCCTCCGGGGTTCCCCCACTGTGCTATAAGCCTGTATTTAAGGCCTCCTCCCTCCTTCAGTAAACGGCGGCATTGGGCATTCTACTGAGATGAATCACCCCTGGTCTTGTCTCTGTTTTTAATCCTCAGCCCCTCCCTCGGGCATGGTGAACCGGTGGTTGCGCAGTGGCTACATAGTGACTGCTTAGGTGCTCAATTCAACAAAAAATGAAAAACGGGGAAAAAATACGAAAAGTTTTAAGACTATGGGGTAATCATCTCAGCTTTGCAACTTTTGGGTCGTGCTAGTAATAAGATGCTTTGGTTCAGATGTAGCATTTCACTGCAGATAAACTGGAAACTCCTTAGACTAACTTGCTTTCGAGACATTCCTTAAAAACAAAAACTTTGAGGTAAGCATTTCACCAAGAAGTCGTCCCACATTGAAACAACAAATCCACACATCAGTGTTTCTGTAAGTCTTGAAGTATTTCCGTAATTCGTCATATCCCCTTCTCAGGGATTGGGGCTAGTGGCTGGAAAACGCCCGGGGAGCGACCTGGGTGATGGGGACATCTAGAGGCTTCTGTGGGAACTACAGGAAGCTGTGAGCGTTGGGCATTACTCAGCATAGTCCAAAGACCCAAGGCTTTGGCTTTGCCTAAGAGCGTGTCATAACTGCAAAATCTGGAAGGTGGGACCCCAGCCCTATTGAGTCAACATCTGCATGTGGCAGCTACTTCTAAGAGAAAATGGGTACTCAGTACCCTATTGAATTTATCTGGATGGGACCTCTTTTTTCAAAAGACATCTTCCCAACACCACTGAAGGGAGCCAGAACCATGTCTTTTTCCCCCCGAGACAGGGTTTTTCTGTGTAGCTTTGCGCCTTTCCTGGAACTGGCTTTGTAGACCAGGCTGGCCTCAAACTCACAGAGATCCGCCTGGCTCTGCCTCCCGAGTGCTGGGATTAAAGGCGTGCGCCACCACCGCCCAGCCAGAACCATGTCTTAAAAACAATCTCTGGGAACAACTCAAGCCTCTTATCTCCAAATAAACAAATCTGATAAACTCTGAAAACACGAGGATGAATGTGTCCTAGTTCACCTGTTAAAGGTTCAACTTCCGTGGCCCCGAGCACTTGTGCCCCCCCCCCAACCCGTGGTCTGTGACTGCTCTTTCAAGGGAGGTACACTCAGATAAGAGGATGACCTCAGGAAACCCATGACCCAGGCACTGGCCAGGAGTGCAGGCCCTTGGGGTCCTGAGTCTTTTGAGTTCACAGCTCCCCAGTTCTGGAGTCGTGGGGTTTTGATTCTGTCACTGTTGAGATGGGGTCTCACTAATGTAGTGCTGGCTGCCTTGGAACACACTACATAGATGTGGCGGTCTTCAAACTTGTGGCACTCCCGCTTCTTACAGGCTAGCAGCCATACATACACGTCAAATTTAAACCAGAGTCTCCTTCAGTGGAGGTCCTGTGTGCGCCTTAATCCTCACCACCTCCAAAATTCTTCCCTGTTTCTACAACAAATTTACATTACTCCAGAGGCACTCGGTGCCTTATAAGCAACTCCTCCGCTGGCACCAGAACAGTGGTTCTTAACCTCTGGGTCACAACCCCTTTTTGGGGTCGGGGAGTCGAATGACCCTTTCACAGGGGTCATCTAAGACACAGCTAATTACATTACAATTCGTAACAGTAGCAAAGTTAGTTATGAAGTTGCAACAAAAACAGTTTATGGTTGGGGGTCAGCACATGAGGAACTGTCTTAAAGGGTGGCAGCATTAGGAAGGCTGAGAACCACTGCTCTAGAGGCTTCTCAAGGGAAGGGCCAATCACTGCCATCTGGATGGCACGTTCCAATTCTCAGGACAATGTCTAAATGCCTCGTAGATTTGTAGTGGGGTTTATACTGCCTACCCCTGCCTGTTTTAGAAAGTGGAAGCCGCCCAGCTGCAAGGTCTAGTACCTGTCTGCTGAGGAGCAAAGGGGTCAAGTGGAGTCTGCAAAAAGAGCTACGCGATCATTTGAATGAGAAATGCCCCTCAGTCTTGGGCATTTGAATACTTGGTCCCCAACTGATGGTGCTGTTCGGGAGGTTTGGGAGCCTATGACCTTGCTAGAGGAAGTATGTGACCGGAGCAAGAGGTTAAAGACCTGCCAGGCAGTTGGTGGTACATGCCCCACCCCCTTTTTTAAGATTTATTTATTTATTTATTTATTTATTTATTTATTTATTTATTTATTTATTTATTTATTTATTTATTTAAATATGTATACAGAAGAGGGCGCCAGATCTCATTACAGAGGGTTGTGAGCCACCATGTGGTTGCTGGGAATTGAACTCAGGGCCTCTGGAAGAGCAGTCAGTGCTCTTAACCTCTGAGCCATCTCTCTAACCCGGTGGTGCATGCCTTTAATCACAGCACTCGGGAGGCAGAGGCAGGCACATCTCTGAGTTCAAGCTTGGTCTCCGGAGCAAGTTCCAGGGCAGCCAGGGCTACACAGAGAAACTGTCTCGAAAAAGAAGAGCTTAAAGGCTGAAGATGTGGCACTCCCACATTTAACAGGCTAGCAGCCATACATACATGTCAAATTTAGACCAGAATCTCCTTCAGTGGAAGTCCTGTGTGCACCTTAATCCTCACCTCCAAAATTCTTCCCTGTTTCTAGAACAAATTTACATTACTCCAGAGGCACCATACCCGCTGCCTCTACTCCACCATCGTGGACCCTTGTCCATCTGAACTGTAAACCCAAATAAACTTTTTCTTCTACAAGCTGCCTTGGTCATGGTGTTTTATCACAGCAGAGAGGCACACGTGTAATGTTCAAATGCTGACGCAATTATGCAGCAAACCCAGAGGAAATCCAAACTGTGCTTGTCTGGTTGAGGGTTCAGATAGTGGATTTCCATTTCAAAAATGAAATTCTGGGTACCCTAAGAACTCTAATCAGGGAAATCAGCTCTGTTTCTGCCTGTAGTGTACTATGCTACTCAAAATTCCTAGTTCTTCATCTCGCAAGAAGCTTTGAGAAAAGTACTAAACACCCAGGAAGTACTGAAGACTCTGAAGTCTGGTACAGCTGACTGTGTGGGTCTTCCAGGGACTTGTGAGGAGGACTATGGTGCTCACCGACTGGAAGCAATCCCTATGGAAGTTTAAGTAGGGGCACGAGGTGTAACATTTTGTCTTTTAAAAACAGGAAAATGGAATAGGAAGCACCAGGGAGAAAAAATGTATTAACAGGAAAACATGATACAATAATATATATTAAAATCTTTATTTTTCAGAATTGAAACCCATAGAACACTTAGAAATTTGTTTGGTGTCTTACCAAGTACAACCTCTGTCTGCACAACAGCTCCAAGAGGAAATCCTCGGCAGGTCAAACAAGAGGGCAGTGATGCCTACACCACCCTGAAATAAATTAGCTTCCCAGTAAGTTATTCCCAGCTTCCCCCAATAGTGTGTGACAGTGCAGTCCCAGCCCCACTCACCACCCAGACCAGAGAAGTACAGGGGACAAGCGGCCTCCCCTGGGAGCAAGTGTCAGGCAGGAGCAGACTGCTCAGGAGACACCCGGCGAACATTCTCACCTCTACTGGACAAGTCCTTTCTCAGCGTCAGTATTTCCTTGTGTCAAAGGAAATCCATTTTCCTTGGCAGAATACACCCAGGGCCACACTAACCCAAACTCCTCACCCCACCTTTCCTGAACCCAGGAGGCAGGCCGCAAGGGGCTTGCTGACAGCGGCTGTCTACTGATCGCAAGAGAAGGTCACTGCTGGCCAGAGATCAGGGAGGGACGAGCAGAGGCTGAAGGCGTGCGTACAGTGCGTGGAGACGGGAAGGCCAAGTGTGAGCGCTTTAGAGAAAAGAGGACTTTCTTTGGATGGTAGTGCTGTCTCCAGCTCTGGGAAAATAGAGAGGCTGTCAGGATTCACTTGCTAAAATAATCGGTAATAATGTACCCGGATTCCTCCACTTTCTCCTTAAAATTTAGTCTGACACTTTAAACCTGAGTGCAAACAGGGAGACATACCTTAAAAAATACCATTCACCATCAGCAAATCAGAGCCTGTTGTTTTAAAAGGGAATTATTGATAGCCCTCTCCCAAAGCACAATGCAGCCCAAGACTAAGGAACAGTTTTAGAATAGAAATTCTATACCCAAGTTTCCCACTGCGACCAGACACGTTTGAGAAGCGGAAGCAGATGAAGACGCAGCAGTGGCTCTGGTTTCTTGGACTTGTAGTAAATGTATTCATCTATGCGGATGCTCAGTTGGCAAACGTAATTTAGAATTGACCAAAATCCCTCTGATGACTTGATTATAACAGCCCAAATTCTAGTAAATGACCCCAAAAGAGGCCAGAGTTACAATACTTTTAAAAATGTATCTTTTTTGGCCTGGGTGGTGATGGCGCACGCCTTTAATCCCAGCACTCAGGAGGCAGAGCCAGGCAGATCTCTGTGAGTTCGAGGCCAGCCTGGGCTACAGAGTGAGTTCCAGGAAAGGCTCCAAAGCTACACAGAGAAACCCTGTCTCAAAAAACAAAAACAAACAAATAAATAAAAAAGTATATATTCCCCCCCCCCAGAACTTTGTGTCTATAAATTTGGGGCTAGGAGCTTATGGCTGCTCCACCCCTGCCTGCCACGCTGAGATCTGCCCAAATGTACCTTTCCTAGCTCACCCCAACCCCTAAGAACACAGATTTATATTCCAATTGCTGTGTCATGGACTCCACTGGCTCAATTCTAACCTCATCCACGGTGGACCTGAGGACCTGCTAAAGCCGTGAGTATGAAAACAAAGTGTGAAATGACTTTTCTGTAACTATTCTGGAGGAAAGATTAGACGTTTTTTCAAAGCAGCTTTTCAGTCTGTTCTCTTCCTCACAAGAATCTTGTGCCTTCAACATCCCAAGTGAGGTGTGTCCGCCAAAGTGCCGAGCCACACTCAGTCAACTGAGGTGAGGGAGGGCGGACTGCCGCCATCTGCTGGCTGACACTTTGCTAAGCACTAACCATGCTAACCTCAAGTTCAACTGTGAATTTCCTGGGACTTACACACCACATGGCCTGAAAACTGGACTCAATACCTCCTTTTACTAACACTATTTCAATGTTTTGTGCTAATATTTGTTTTCTTAAGTTCAATACCCAAATTTGAAAAAAAAAACTCAGCCTATTCCTTAATCTAACTCAAAATGTACATAAAATGTACAAACTTTGCTAATTTCATGCCTTTTAAAAGTTCTTCTAGGTTTCAACATGAGAAACCTAGGGTCTTAAACCCAGAAGGTAGCTGCATCTAAATGTCAAGCACAGCACTGAAAGGCTGTTCTTGACAGGAGTCCAGAATTGGACAAGAGGCAGAGGAATCACACAGTGCTGAGTGAGGACACCGTCCCTAGCCCGGTAACTTACCACAGCTGCTTACATGTCCAGTGACTGCCAACATACAGAACTGAGCCTAAACTTGACAGTGCTGCAAGGAGATGAAAGAATTCTACACCATGGGTTCAGAACGCCAAGCCAGAGGGAATCTGGATTTGATACAAACCGCAGCATTAAGGCTCTTTTTCAGTGTCAAGGCTCAGAAGGCTTAAATCTTACTGCTACCTGCGGGCCCGCATCACAAGCTGGGTCCAGCTACCAGCAAGACGCTTTCCCCTAAGAAAGGCACAGACAAGGCCATCAACCTCCCAGGGACAGCGGCATCACTGTCAAATGCCTCACACCTTAGAGAGCCAGGCATGGTTGCTCATACTTATAATCCTAGCAGGTGGACGGCTGAGGCAGGAGGACTGCTGCCAGTTCAAAGCCAGCCTGGGTTACACACTAAGTTCCCGGCCAGCATGGACTAGAGTAAGAGTCTACAGTTTACCTCAGAATAAACAATGCCAATGAGAGAAGGGGGTGGGGGGAGACCAAGATGGCAGAGATCACAGGGACCTAACATATTATTTCAGCTTGTTTTGCTACTTTGGGCAAAAGGTAGGCAAGGGGGTAAATTAGTGTCTGCAGGGGATCATGCTTGGGTTGTAATCGTATTTTCTCTAGAGACCATTTTGGTTAATTTGAACAGAACCTAAATACAGGGGAAGTTCATTTTCAGGACGTCAGTCATCTTCCTGGTTCTACAGCGTGAGTCCCTCCCTCCTCTCTTCCCTGAGATGTCAAATCCACAGCACTCAACAGCTAAGATCCCCAACACCCTCCTGCCTTTCTCTTCCTCCATCTTAGAAATGGGTCTCCTCCAGCACTGTGCTCTTTTGTCTGAACATTTTCAGTCTGACTAGTTCGGCCTTTTTTTGTTTTTGCTTTTGTTTTTGCAGACACAAGGACTACAGAGTGAGTCTACAGAATCCATGGGTGTGGTGACGATGGCAAGGTTTACCGCAGACACGCACTTCCTCAGCCAGTGTCACACCTCTTTGTCCCTTGGTGTGGGGACAAGACTGACCAGAGCTGGTCCCCGCCGCTTGAACAGGCAACTTGGAGGCCGCCAGGTGAATCCAGAGACAAGCTCCCACGCAGACACTGCAGAGAACACCGGGCACTCCCGGGGCCACCCTGTCTTCTACACCAGAACCTGCTGCTGGCCACTTCCGGCTGTCACATGCCACTTGGAATTGATTGTGCTGTTTATCTTTGTAAAAATCAGTCCCACTTGTTTCCTGTTCAGAGTTACAAGTGGGAGAGTGGCATCCTGTCTTCCACCAGCACCGTGTCCACCCCAAACTGGTCAGTGCACTGCTTGATGGTGACCAGGACGTTCAGCAGCCGCTGGTCCACGGAGTCCAAGTGTGGATCAGAGAGCACTGGGGAGATGGGGTCGTGGGCCATGGCGGATTTTAAGGCAGACTTTAGCACTCCATTCTTCAGGTAGTTCAGTCTGTTCCAGGTGGAAACTCGAATGCTGGAAGAAAAAGGTTGAAAGGAAGTTATAGAACACCTCCCTAGCCAATCCAGGGTAAAGCTTGGATAGTAGGCAAGGTTTTTAAAAATCATTTATTTTTAAATATTTTTAAAATTATTTCAACTAAAAAAAATACCACTTCTATTTCAGACTTGCCTCTGTATCAGAAGTAAGCTGCATCGGCATGTGTAAGTTTTGGGGAGTAATTAGAGATATGTACAAAAATTTATACATATTCATTGCAGTAAGAGGAAAACCAAACCAATCTAAATGTCTAACACGTAAGAAATACTTCAAATTAAGGCTAATTCATCAGGGAAATATCATGCAGTCATTAAAAAGGTTTGAAAATTGAGTGGCACAGGGAAATGCCCATGATAATTATGTTAGAAATGACAAATTTGGAGAGAAAAACTTTCATTTCCTGTCTGTGGGGAAACTAAAGTATATAATTACTGTGATAAAACTACAGGATTACAATGACGTTCACTATGTTAACAGGAGTTACCCTTAGACACTCAGGGGTGACTGTAACCTCCTTATTCAAATATTTCTGTATTTTAAAAATTCTAATATTAATAGAAAAATAGTTACTATAAAAATACCCCTTTTTTTTTTTGTTTTTTCGAGACAGGGTTTCTCTGTGTAGCTTTATGCCTTTCCTGGGACTCACTTGGTAGCCCAGGCTGGTCTCAAACTCACAGAGATCCGCCTGGCTCTGCCTCTCGAGTGCTGGGATTAAAGGCATGCGTCACCACTGCCTGGCGGAAAAATACCTATTTTTTGCTAAGAGATGATGGCACATGCCTTTAATTCCAGCACCGGGGAGGCAGAGGCAGGTGGATCTCTGAGTTTGAGGTCAGCCTGGCCTACCTAGTGAGTTCCAGGACAGCCAGGGCTACACAGAGAAATCCTGTCTCAATGCCCCACCCCACCAGAAAAAGAAAAATCTACTTTATTGGGGACAGAGATGGCTCAGCACCTAAGAGCACTTATTTCTCTTGGAGAGGACCTGTATTCAGTTTCCAGAACCTACTCTGAGCTGCTCACAGTTGCCTGTAACTCCAGCTCCAGGGGACCCAATGCCTTCTTCTGGCTTCTGCTGGCACTGCATTCAAGAACGCATAGTCCCACAGACAGACTGACAGACACACACACATACTTTAAACTTTTAAAGAGATTATCTATTTTCCTAAGTTATTTCACTACCTGATTGCTATGGTTTAGGTATTTTCCCTGATAAAATCCCATTGGTATTCAGTTAGCACTGTAACAGTACTAATAAGATCTGAGACCCTAAAGAGGTGGGTGACCAATGAGGGCAGAGCGTTCAGTGGAGCGATGCTGCCCTGTCTCCTGCCAAGTGGCTAACAGTGAGAAAGTTCTCTCAGGGTGCCAGGGTTTTGATACTGGGCTTCTCAGCTTCTAGAGCTGTGAGCCAATCAATTTCTGTTCTAGGTTGGTAAGATGGCTTAACAGGTAAAGGCAGTTGCCACATAAGCCTGGTGATGGAGTTTGACCCCTGGAAACCGTGTCAAAGGTGGATGGAAAGAGTCAAGTACGTAAGTTGTTCTCTGACCTCCACTGTACACCTGGCACACAAGCCCACACCTACACAATGCATACGAACACACGCACTAAAATAAGTTTAAAGGGAATGTCTCGGTCTGTGACTTTCTATTACAGCAGGATGAAACAGACTAACTGACCAACTAAAGAGAACTGGTTCATCTCAGAAGTTCTTACCTCTTTGTGGGTACAGGAGTAGTAACCGGACAGAATGTGGGTACAGTATAAGTAACCAGGCAGGAAGAAATGTCTGACTTTGAGAGAAGTAGACTGTTTTATAGCTACTTAAAGTAAGGAAGATGGATCTTTGTACAAGGATTTGGGCAGTTTTCTATTCTGAATTGTGTTACAGCTGCAGAGAGCGCCACGCTTCTCCGGTGGAACAGAGCTTTACTTGACTGACCACACCTACTTCACACTTCTATATGCTTCTCCAAAACGGACAGAGTTCCTTGCATCGCGTCTCTTCCTAAGCTTCTCAGAAGAGGGCCAGTGCAGCACGAAGGGGCTCTCTCAGCAGAGTCTGTAGTTTAGTGACGCAGAGCCCAGGCACATTCTCAGAAGACAGAAGCCCCTGAAGTCGCAGCCTCATCCGATAACTCCCCTGAGGTCCTTTCTCAGACAGGGTCTCCCGTAGCCCAGGAAGCCCCTGGATTTGCTGTACAGCTCAGAATGACACTCCTTTCCCTTCTACCACCCCCAGCTGCTGGGTTACAGCACTCTGGTTCCTGAGGCGGGCTGCTTTCTTTCTTTCTTTTTTATTTTCTATTTTTTGAGATAGGGTTTCTCTGTATAAGTCTTAGTTGTCCTGGAACTCGCTTTGTAGACCATGCTGGCCTCGAACTCACAGAGATCCACCTGCCTCTGCCTCCCAACTACTGGGATTAAAGGCGTGCGCCACCACTGCCCGGCTGCTGAGGCTTTCTTGACGTAAGTACCAGTATGGCATGTGCCAAATCTGATTCACTCTGTGGGCCCACAAATGTGCCTTGAAGGTGGCCCAGAAGCTCTCAGAGTCATCACTTCCTCTGCAGGTCAGGACACTGGCTGCTGACTGCCTGCCTGTATCCCACCTGCTCTCAGTGTTCCAATATTAGTAAGGAGAATTAGGGCTGTCCAGGTAAATAAATATTACTATCTAAAGAAATGTTCCCTACTGACAAAGAAAAAGCTGAGCACGTGGCACAGACTTGTACATAAGCCCAGTACTTGGGAGACTGAGGCAAGGATTCTGGAATTTTGAAGGCAGCCTAGGTTGTGCAGTGAGACCCTGTAGAAGAGAAACAGGAAGGGCCAGGGAAGAACTAGGGAAGGAGGGAATGGAAGGAAGGAGAGAGGGTGGATGGAGATGGGTGGGCTGAGGAGCTCAGTCAGTGCAGTGCTCGGCAAGCAGGAGGACTCGAGTGTGATCCCTACCACGCCCGTAAAAAGAAGCTGCGCGCAGTACTACATATGTGTAAACCCCGAGTAGGGAGATGGAGACACCGGGATCTTGGGGCTTAACGGCGCCAGCCTAGCCTACTTGGTGAGTTCCAGGGCAACGAAAGCCTTGTCTAAAAAAGAAGGAGGTGGACAGCTCCTGAGGAGGACACCAAGACTGTCCTCTAGCGCGCGCACACACACACACACGCATCCTTGCACACATACATCAGCATGAGTGTGTGTGTGGAGGGTAGAGCATAGCTCAATGGTAAAGTACTTGCTTAGGAGGCACAAGACCCTGGATGTAGTCCCAGCACTGGAAAGACAGACAGACAGACAGACAAGGGAAAAAAGAAAGGCGGCAAAGCCACAGGAGCTGTGTCTGGGCTGACAGCACCAGGCTGTTCGCAGACCTGCTTTCCGCAGCCAGAGGAGGCAAATCCTGCCGGCTCTTGACATGCAAACCTCAAGGTCGGGGGGGGGGGTGGGGGGGTGTTGGTCCATTTTCTTGATTTACTTCTCAATTCCTTTATTCTCTAATATACTAAATCACTTATTAAATACTTAGAGGAAGTTATTTTTGGATTAGGTAATTTCAAACTAAGATACACAAACTCCAGGTGGGAGAATTGGAACCAATGGGAAACCAGACACAGCAACCGAGAGTACAGATTACAACAGACTCAAAACAATAATTTAAAATTTTTTGAGACTGTCTCACTCTGTAGCCCTGGCTGGCCTGGAACTCACCATGTAGGACAGAGTAGCCTCAAACTCACAGAGATCCACCTGCTTTTGCATCCTCGGTGCTGAGGTTAAAGCCTAGCTAGTCTGTTTTTAGTAGGTGGTAGGGATATTAAGCCACCCACACACATATTACTACAGACACCACAAACTTACTGATGCAAAATTCACAATGAATTCTGAGCTTTGCGTGACTGCCTCTGCGTTCCCCTCAGCACTGTCAGGGTTCACAGGGGTTCTGGCTGCAGAAGTAGGAAAAGCAACTGGGAGGCTTTCCTGTCACGAGAACCGATGTCCTGGTACCTGACCCCGAAGAGGCAATGCAGGCAGACACACCCGCGTCATAACTTACATGCAGCACTGATAGAGAGGTGCAAGGATGCTTCTCTCATCCAGCGAGGGGTTCCCAAAGCTGAAAGTTAAATGACGACAGTCAGTTAGTACAAGTAGTTGTTCCTTTCAGCATCAAAGCAAGAGCATGTTCTGTAAAAACCAACTGTGATCCTAGATAATTTCATGCTCCAACAGATCAAATCATTTAAATTAAAAATAAGCCTGGCATGACTAATTAGACACAGGATCATTAACAGCCTGAACTAAAGTATCAAACAGTAAATGAACTCGTGTAACGAGGACCCTTTCCTGCCTCGATGTGGGACCACAGCTGTGGCGCCACACTCAGTCTCCAGTGCAGAGACAAGGCAGAAATCCTAAGTCAGTACAGTTTTTAAACGGTGTGGTGAGAACTCCCTGCTAGAGTCCCCAAAGGGCAGGTGGATGGGACTTCCAGAAAACCGTACTCCTGCAAGCAGACCGGCTGACAGCTTCAAACCAGACAGACTGCCCAGGGGCTTGCAGAGGCTGAGACAGAACAACTCAAAGCAGACACAGAAATGGATTCCATTAGGAAAGGAATGGTGATCTGGGAAAACGGTCCCTCTTTGGGGTGAAACCGAGTTTCTTTGTGTAGCCTTGGCTGTTCTGAAATTTGCTCTGTAGACCAGGAAGGTCTCAAACTCACAGAGATCCGCCTGCCTCTGCCTCCCAAGTCCTGGGATTAAAGGCGTGCGCCGTCGTCGCCACCACCGCCCGACCCCTTCCATTCTTTCCCTGGACTCCTCCTTAATGACTGGAGGAGGACCCCTAGCCCTGATGATAGTGCAGAAAGAGCAGCTGCTATCCTTTGAACAGTTCTGCTGCCCACAAACTCCTGCTGCTATTGAATCCTCAACGCAAGGCTATTAGGAGGTGAGGCTGTTGGGAGAGTAAGTCCAGCATCGTTTTGATCCCAAGTCCTCACATCCCAGGCCCCAGGCTCATCTGCCAAGGCACTAGTTGCCAGCCCGTAGCACTACTGAGGTGAGGACGTCTCCAGGAGGTGGGGCCCAGCAGAGGGAAGTTAATTCGCTGGTGTGCATTCTTGATGGGGATTTGAGACCCTGGCTTCTTTTCATCGTTGTTCTCTGCTTCCCAAAGGCCAGGAGGCCAGCAGCTTTGCTCTACATGTGCTCTCAGCCCTAATGATTCTGCCTCATCACAGGCCTCCAACAATGAAGACAACAAACCTCGGAAACCGTCAACTGAAATGAGCATTTCATTCCCACTAGTTGACTTGTGGCAGCGTTTGTTTCAGAGGGCTGAGCAGCCCAGGACCCTAGAGAATGCACACAGACGGACAACACAGTCTTGCTGTACCTTTTGGCATTATCAAGAAGGATAAGCATGCTAGCGCCTTCATCGTCTTGAAAGCTTTCATAGTGGTGGCGGTCGGCATTGCCAATCAAGTAATCGAAGACAGCAGTGTCAATGATGTCCAAGAGGCGTGGGCCTGAGTCGTAAGGGGACGTTTTCTTCACAGCATCGCAGTAGCTCTCATCATATTCCCACCTGGAGGCAAGGAGCATCACAAGGGTTACTGAGTGCCAGCTACACCTGACTAGAGTTTAGCCCCTGAGAGTCCTACAAAAGCCATATGCTAACAGTTTGGTTGTCAGCTGTGATGTTATTAGGAGGTGGGGCTTGTGGTAGGAAGTTAAGCTACGAGAGCAAGCCTAGGGGGAGGATATGGCTACCCTGGCCTTCTTCTCACTGTCTGCTTGCTAGCCACCATGAGAGAGGGACTTTGCCCCACAGCATCTGTGTGCTGCCTCGATACTGTATTACCACAGCCTCACCGCAACAGAGCAGCCCTCGCTGGGCTGAGACTTTAGGAACTGTGAGCCAAAAGAACCTTTCTTCTTTTAAAACCCTAGGCATTTTGTTAGTGACAGAAAGCTAATGAAGAACATTGGTACCAAGATAGGGTCATTGTTGGGACTATCTCTGACAGCGAGATTCAAAAGCCTTTGGAATTGGTTTGCAAGATTAGAAAAGTTTAAGATGCAAACTAAGGAAAGCAGGGGATGCTGGAAGCACAGATTACTGGAGGGTTCTGGAAGGGTAAGAGGCTGGCAGGAAGACAGACCGCAAAAGCTGTGTTGACAGGTTTGGATGCAACAGGAACTCCACTGGGAAGAAGCATATTAGAGGCTGACCATGTTATATTCTGGAGAAATATACTCTACGTTTGGACATATCCTGAGACTCTGTGGAATGGCTTATATGGTAGAGGCAATTTCAAAGCAGCAATATGGGAATTACTGGTTGCTTTTAGTCGTATTTACTGTGAGAAGTAGAAGCAAAACGCAGAGCAGAAGATCTGAAAAACTTGTAGTTGAACCAGGAAAGACGCACATATAAAGTTCAAGCCAAGAGGGGTACAGATGCTGAAAAAACTAACACCATTAAAAAAGCCCAGTGTGCACTAGGGTGGCAGGAAAGGCATCTGGAGGCATCCCAGGAACCTGCAAGATGCTGCCCATCTCAGGCTAAACCTCTGTGTTCAAGCATCAAGACACTGTGATTCACAAGGGCCTGGATAAGCTCAAAACAGTGCCAGACCCTGGCATCATCCAAGTGATGCTGTGTTGCAGGCACACAGACTGGAAGAACTGCAGAGCCACTTCCACTGAGGAGATTCTAAAGGGGTCTTGAGAGGTTGACAGACAGGGTTGGAATTCCTACAAACGGTCCAAGAGTGTGATGCACGAAGCCGTGAGAGTAAAGCTGCTGCTATGGCTATATTTAAAAACGAAAACAAAATGTTTTAGTGTGTGTGTGTGTGTGTGTGTATGTGTGTGTGTGTGTGTGTGTGTAAGTGTATGCATGCAACCACATGCGTACAGTTGCTGGTGGAGGCCAGCAAAGGCCCTTTGATTCCTGAAGCTGAAGTTAGAGGTAGTCATGAGCTCCAAATGTGAGAGCTGGAAATCAAAGTCAAGTCCTCTGCAAGATCAGCAAATGCTCTTGACCCCTGAGCTACCTCTCCAGGCCCCCATGGTTCATATTTTAAATGTCCCCTAAAGACCATGTACGTAAGCCCTGGTTCAGCCTCGGCTGAAGAGATGATGGGGATATTCCAGGGAGTCCCTGCCTAGAGGGATTCCTCCCGGCCTTTTCTTGTCTTTGCTTTCCAGAAGCGACGGGATAAGCAGCCTCTGCCGCCACATGCTTCTGTAATGATGTACTGTGCCACCAGAGGCCCAAAGCAATGTGGCTGAGTGACTCTGGACCGAACTTCTCAAACTGTGAGCCACAATTAATCTTTCCTCTTCTTAGTGATAGAAAGATGGCTGACACATTAGCACTGCTGAAAACAGGGACAAGACCTACCTCGCAGGCTTACCCATAATGGGCAATTCTTTGTACTCCTGAACTGACGGCTGGCTTCTATTCAGGAAGGGCAACTGGTGTGGTATAGCAAAGAATTAAGTCATGGCTCACAGGAGCATTTACCTGGCCAGTTTGCCTTCTCGGTAAGTCCTGCCCCAGGGGTGTCGATGTTTCTGCAGAGGCCACACATCTGGGAGCCAAAGCGTGATGGCTCCCTCCATCATGTCTCCATCAGCACAGGCTGGCTCTGTTTCTCGGCAGTAATAGCACTTCCCATAGAAACACGTGTTATTCCCTGCAGGATGGAAATGAGCCAGACAGACTTAGGGAAGAAAATTAAGAAGCCAAATTCTCCCCCAAGCAAGATCAAACAGCTAAGTACACAGGCATCATGAACATTAAAATCCTATACAGGTAATAAAAGCAGACAGTATAGAACAATCCCCGATGGATGAGAAGCTATACTAGAAAGCCAATCTTCCCATGTTTCCCTTCTACCCAGCCGCTCTCCTGGAAGTGAACTACCATCAGTCTCGCTCTCAACTCAAAGGAATTAATGGAAAACAATGTCTTCCTGTCCTTTATCAGAGCTGAGGTTTTGGCCAAAGTGCCCAGAGGAGAGAGAGTTTGGTCCCATGTGGGGGAGGCAGGAGCAGGTAAGAAAATACTCTGAGGGTAATGGGAACTAGTTTTCTCACAGATGGAGAAGGAAGAAAAGCAAGATGGTCAGAGTAAATCCTGTCGTGAATGAGAATAAGATACTGGTTTTAATCCACACCCAGAGATAAAGACACAGGCGTGTGTGTGTGTGTGTGTGTGTGTGTGTGTGTGTGTGCATTTGTATGTGCACCTGTGTGTATATACATGTATTTCCTACTCTACCCTTGAAGAGAACCTAGAAACAATGAGATCCAGGACTTATTCAAACATCGGTTCCCCATCCTTCTCCCTCTCTCTTCTCGTGGCAATAGGGCCTCATACACTCGAGGCAAGTACTCTACCACTCAGCTATATACCCAGCCCTCTTCTTACTTTTTGAGGCAGGCCTTGAACTTGCAAGACCTCTTGCCACAACCTCCCAACTAGCTGCAATTAGAGGCTTAAACCACAAGCTTCACATATCATTTTCTAAAGACCATTTTAGCGCTACATTAAAGAGGGGGGTTCACTGAACCAGCAGCTCCTCCAGGGCTGAGTCAGGGAAGGTTGGACTACCCTGCCATCACCAGCAGTAAGGAAGTACTCAGAGAACAATGAGACCATTCCAAGGACCTGAGCTGGACTGTAGGGTTCCCAATGGCTACATCTGTGGCAGGCAGAATATCAACATTAAAAAAAAAAAAAAAAAAAGTAAGAAGCTGTGTGGTGGCGGTGCACGCCTTTAGTCCCAGCACTCAGGATGCAGAGCTAGGTAGATCTCTGTGAGTTCGAGGCCAGCCTGGTCTACAGAGTGAGATCCAGGACAGGCACCAAAACTACACAGAGAAACCTGTCTCAGGAAAAAAAAAATCACTTATTGGGGCTGGAGAGATGACTCAGAGGTTAAGAACACTGGCTGTTCTTCCAGATGTCCTGAGTTCAATTCCCAGCACCCACATGGTGGCTCACAACCAACTGTAATAAGATCTGGCGCCCTCTTCTGGCCTGCAGGCATACATGCAAACAGAACACTGTATATATAATAAATAAATAAATCTTTTTAAAAAAAGTAAGAAATTGCAACTAAGAAAGTCAAACTCAGTGAGTTCATCACGATATGAATAAAGAAATGCATGAGAGGGGAGTTCTCTCTAAATAGAATGTCTACCAAGAAAGTACAAAGCAATAACAGAATTTAAAAAGTACCATTTCACAACTATCGTAATAACTGATTCTAACACAAATGATCAATGTGCTAAACCTGGGGATGAAAGTTTGGTAAGGAATGGAATATTTATGTAGTTCTGCCTGGGGATGGGATGCTAGGTGGCAGAGCATATTCTTAGCATGCATGAGGCTCTAGAGTCAAGGCCCACCTCAGTATTGGGAGGGGGTGGGAAAGCAACTGGGTATTAATATAGTTGAAGAGTACCCTGTATAAATAACACCTCCCCAGCTCTGGGACTATAACTGCATGCCACCACCATGCTTAGGTTGGGAGGCTGAGGCCTTTTACATTATTAAAAAATAATTTATTTAATTTTATGTTCATTGGTGTGAGGACATCAGATCCCTTGGAACTGGAGTTACAGACAGCTGTGATCTGCAAGACGGATGCTGGGAATTGAACCCAGGTCCTCTGGAAGGGCAGTCAGTGCTCTTACTCTCTTCAACCCCAAGGCCTTTTACATTATGATAACTAGTCAATAGTCCCCTCTTTTTGACGGGCATGGTAGTGCACATCTTCAATCTCAGTACTTGGGGAAAGCAGAGGCAGTGGGATCTCTGTGAGTTTGAGGTCAGGTTGGTCTACATAGGGAGTACCAAGACAGCCAGGGCTACATAAAGAGGCCCTGCCTCACAATAAAAACCAAAGTAAAACCAGTCAACTGGGGCTGGAGAGATGGCTTCGTGGTTAAGAACACTGGTTGCTCTTCCAGAACAGCCGGGTTCAATTCCCAGCACCACATGGCAGCTCACAACTGTCTGTAACTCCAGTTCCAGGAGACCTAGCCTCACTAGGGCACTGCACACACACACTACACAGACATACATGCAGGCAAAACACCCATCCATATAAAATAAAAATAAATAATTTAGCCAGGCGTTGGTGGCACACGCCTTTAATCCCAGCACTCGGGAGGCAGAGGCAGGCGGATCTCTGTGAGTTCGAGGCCAGCCTGGGCTACCAAGTGAGCTCCAGGAAAGGCGCAAAGCTACACAGAGAAACCCTGTCTCGAAAAACCAAAAAATAAAAAAATAATAATAATAAAAAAAAATAAAAATAAATAAATAAATAATTTAAATGGAAAAAAAAAAAAAAAGAAAAAGAAAACCAACCAACCAAAAGGCTCTCTTTGCTCTTATTTTAGGATCATTTTCAGGTTTTTACTTCTTATGACCTTTAAAATAGTCTTGTTTGTTTCTACTCAATATTTGTTAGTATTTCTAATGTAATCCAGTTGTTAAATTTATAATTTTCAATTTCTGTAATTATAAGCATTCTCTATGTGTTACTTTCAATTGGTTGAAATAAGTTTTGAAAGAAGTCTTAAGGTTTGTGGGCAGTGGTGGCGCACACCTTTAATCCCAGCATGGGAGGCAGAGGCAGGTGGATCTCTGAGTTTGAGGCCAGCCTGGTCTACAGAATTGAGTTCCAGGACAGCCAGGGCTACACAGAGAAACCCAGTCTTGAACTCCCCTCTCCTCAAAAAGAGAGAGAGATCTTAAGGTAGAGAGAGTGATGTAACAGCTTTGGGGTGTGCTATAGTTGATTAGGTTCTGTGTAGTACATACTGTGCTGGACCTGGGAAATAAAAGCAGGTGGAGACAGGTTCATCTCTAGGCCTTGCTAGGCAACCAGCCGAGCTGGGGAGCTCCATGCCAGGGAAAGACCCTGTCTCAAAAACAACACAAGGAAGACGTGCCCGAGAACCAGCAGCCAAGCTGCCCTCTAGCCTTCCTGAACACATGCACATACAAAAGACAGAACACAAATGGCTCTTGAACAGATGGACAGATGCTACACAGGAAACAAACAAACAAAAACCCCAAAAGTTTTAGGATGCATTATTATTAGTGTTGTTGTTTGGAGACAGGGTTTCTCTGTGTAGCCCTGGCTGTCCTGGAACTCGCTCTGTAGACCAGGTTGGCCTCAAAACTCAAGAGATCTGCCTGCCTCTGCCTCCTGTGTGCTGGGATTAGAGGTGTGCGCCACCACTGCCTGGCTCAGGATGCATTATTAATGATACTGGGGGGGAGGGGGGTTGCATATATTGTCATGGGTAAAGTAGTTAAGTGTCTATGAGGGGTAATGTGACCACCATCCACTAAAATTCACAGTGACCTAGCACTTCAACTTTTGGAAATTTCTGCCCATGTGTGAAGTAGCATATGTACAAACTAATTCTGGGCAACAATAGTTATAAATACAAAATAGTGGAGTAATATGCTGGTCCAATAAGGGACTGGTTATATGAATTTATGGCAGACTCATATAATAGAACACTTTGTAACTAGTTGTGATCTTGGTCCTCAATTTGAGTACATCTGGAATCAACTGAAACCCAAGTTAGGCACACCTGTGAGGGTTTTCTTGATCAGACTATTTGAAGCAGAAAGCCCCACCCGAAATCTGGCCACACATTTTGGTGGCAGTCCACATAAAAGGACATAGAAGGAAACTTCTGCCTGGCCTTCTTACCCTCACTCTTGCTGGCAATCCATCTACCTTGTTGCTGAGACATTCCTTCACTGGTGCTGGAACTAACTTCTTGGGGATTCCAATGCAGACTGAAGACCAGCAGCTCTCCAGGAGTCCTCTAGGACTCCACTGCCAGATTGAGACTGCTGTCCATCAGCGTCCTGGATAAACAATACTGGATTCTTGGCCTTCCCACTGTGAGATAGGCACGGTTGAGCTCCTCAGACCCCAGCCTGTAAGCTGGTCTAATAAAGCCCCTTTATATATATTTTCCATTCTATCAGTTCTGTTCCTTTAGAGAACTCTGAACAATGCATTGGGCAAACACAAAAGAACAGAGAAGTTCTTAAATGTAATACGAAAGGGTTTTTCCAAGACAGGGTTTCTCTGTGTAGCTTTGGTTCCAGTCCTGGAGCTCGCTTTGTAGACCAAGCTGGCCTCGAACTCACAGAGATCCACCTGGCTCTGCTTCCCGAGTGCTGGGATTAAAGGTGTGTGTCACCACTGCCCAGCACGAAAGGTTTTTATAATATATTAAGTAAAAAGAATGAGATGCAGAAGTTATTAATAGTATGCTGTAGATTGTGTAGAATGGTAGAACTAAATATAAATATATGTTTATATTCATACAAAAGGAAACAATTATTAAGAGAGGTTAGTGCTTAGGCTAAGAAGAAAGAATAAGATGCAGAAGTATGTATAGTATACTATATAGTATGTAGAAGGTAGTATTAAATATGAACATGTATGTATATAAAAAGAAATAAAGAACTAGTAGAGGAATTGGAAAACATGTTACTGTAGTCCTTTTGATGCTTGACGCATGTTAACAAACTGAATAAATTATTGATTCAAAAAATGAAAACACACACACACACACAAACAAAACAAAACAAAACAAAAAAACCTAAGAAATTAAGACAATCTATGGGGTAAAATCCAAACACTTGAGTTTGGTAAATAAGAGTCTTATTTAGGGAAAGAAGTATAATGTATTAGGTTCTTATCTAATGTGGTTTATTCAGATTTCTGGAGTTAAAATATAAATTTGGGAGTTGGGGCTGGAGATCAAACCCAGAGACTTGTGCATACTAAGTGCTCTCACTGAGCTATATAAAATGTAAACTACTTTAGTAAGGGACTGCATGATGCTGAGCATGTAATTACAGCCCTTCAAGCATGCTCACTGCTCTGCTGTCAGGGTGAAAAGGAAAGACGTCTATCCCAATGCTTAGTGTGAGACCAATCAACAGCATCTATTCCTCTCAATAATAGGGCTAAGTGTGCTTTTCCTGACTTCAGTATCCCCATTACACTCTGTGAGCCTGAGCCTTGGCCTCTGACCACTTCCTGGACATACTCAACGGCAGAAACTGCTTTTCTGATTACTGAAGTTCTCCTTCCTCTCCTTGGGTGAACTATCAGATCTAAGTCTCCATCTCAGGCTTTTCTCCATTAGCTACACTAATGACTAGTTCATATAAACTCCTAGATGATCCTGAAACAAAATATCCAGAATCCGATGCATTCTGCATGCTATCCTTTTCCACACACCCCTCAGTTAACTGCTGTATTCACTTGACTATCCAATCTAGAAATGTGGAGTCATTCTTCAGTTCCCCTCCCTGCTTACTGCTCCTCCGAGCTGAGACGTTCATCACACTGTTCACATTCCAGTTCATGAATCTCTCTTAACCCCTCTATCCCATCCTTAGCTTAGTTCTGTCTCTTGAAATCACTTCAACAGCCCGCCAGGGCTCTCATCTTCTCACCCCCCATCACTATTCACTGTCTACAATACTGCCAAAATTAACTTTGTAAATTCAAACATGATTACTTCATGTTCAGATTCTCTAAATAGCCCCCCAATGCCCGAGGGGAGTCCTGACCCCTCAGCATGATGCACAGGCCCTTCAGTGACCCTGTCCTGACTGCTTCCTCTCCTCAGTGCCGAACCCACACACAGCTTCCCCTTGAGCTCACACTTGTGCCTCCTGTACTCCTAATCACCCTGTCCATCTGTCCTCAGGCTCCACCAATGTTACCTCGGGGGCTAGTGGGGTAAGCTGGGTAGAAATGAAATCACAACTATTTTCACAAACCTCTTTCTGAAATTTAGTATTTCAATCAATTACAATAGGAACCCTAACATTAGAATTTCTTGCCACCTTGTCACTAAAATTAATCAGAGTTTCCCGTATTGTATTACCATCCTTGCAGTTTGGTTTTCTGAGACAGGTATTGCTTTACCTCATTTTTAAGTATAAATCTATTCATTCTAGTAAAAAGCAAGGTGAAGTTCATTTTCAATGTCTGTTTCAACATTTATGCAATGAAGGAGAACACTGAATCACCAAAAAGTCCCCACCAAGAAGAGGCCAAGACAAGAGAACACAGCACCTCTAAATTCTTCTTGTTTTACCATGCTTCCAACGAGAACAAGACTGACAGACCCCTGCGCATCATGGTAGGCTAATGAGAACCAGGGCCGGCGAGTCATACCGAGCTCCATGAAGTATACACTAATCCTTGGGAGGAGAGGAGTGGCCCAAATGCAGTTCTACAATGGAGCTCTAGTTGCCCTCAGGAGCTGCTTCAGGCTTCTTCAATTCTCTATTATTTATTTATGTGTGTATATGTTTATTCGGAGGGGCACACACGTGGAGACCAGAAGTTGATATCAAATGCCTTCCTCAATTGCTCTCCACCTTATGTTTTAAGCCAGGGTCTCTCACTGAACCTGGAGCATAACACCAACTTGATTACACTGAGTGAATTTCTAATTTCTCACTAGAATTATAGGTGCCCCTTCTATACCTGTTTTTTTTTTTTTTTTTTTTAACCTGGTATGGGGATCCGAACTCAGGTCTTCGTGCTTGCATGGCACACACTTTACTGGCTGAGCCATCTCCCAGCCCCTGGCTTCCCCACTTCCCAGGAGAAGGTTCTCAAGAGAACTCATGTATACAAAATAAACCACGGGGCAATGGTGGCACACATCTTTAATCCCAGCACTTGGGAGGCAGAGGCAGGAGGATCTCTGTGAGTTCAAGGCCAGCCTGGTCTACAAAGTGAGTTCCAGGACAGCCAGGACTGTTACACAAAGAAACCCTGTCTTGAAAAACAAACCAACAAACAAAACAAAAGCCAGGACAATGATTTGCACACAGTATCATTTTAGTGCAAATCTTCCATTTGAGACTTACTGGAAGATTAAGCAGAAACAGCTATCACTTTCACTATTGGAAAGTGACTTCACTTCTTTCCTTAAGAAGTATATAGTAGGGGGAATTCTCACTTCCCGTTCTCACCATTAGACTTAATTCCCACACTAACATGAGAGCAGACTTTAGCTTGTTCAGCGATGCCCCATTATTTACCTTACTGACCATGCCCCTATTTAAACACCCTCCATCGTCTCTTACCTACAGTTAGGAAGGTGCTCAGCAGCTGCTCTGTGGCCACAGGCTTGATCTCCGTCCTCAGATTAATGTATCTGCCAACCACCAAGGGAGCTCGGCGGAAACCCAGAATCCTAGTTTTGAAGGTTGAAGAGAGAAGAGAGAAATCTTTGGGGATGTATTTTAAGTTAAGTCTCAAAAACCGTGGTCAATCCCACTAAAAGGTTTTGGAGGTTGTAGGTAGGTGAGTTAATCTTGGTTTTTGGAGGTACATATGTTCATGAGTTTGTCAAGATGTACATTACTCAACCAGCGAAAAGTGTAAGGAACTGTTAAGTCTATGGGACAGGAATACGGGCTTATCACAGTACCCTCTGCTTCTGTTAGAAAATTTTCATAATCAAAACCAGAAACACATGTTAACAATGCATTAGAAAATACCATGCTTAAACTCAGATGGTTCAAAGCTTTGATAAAACTTTGACGAACTGCGAACTGACCCAAACAACACGCCCACAGGACTGTTTAAATAAGGACACATTCGAAGGCCTTTCTTTCTAATAGTTAAACACTAGAAAATACTTTCTTTTCTTTTCTTTTTGTTTAGTTTTTTTCCTACTTTTATTGATTCTTTGCAGATTTCACATCATGCATCCCAATCCCACTCATCTCCCCATCCCCCTCCTCTGCGCTCCACCCTTGCAACTTGCCCCCAAAATTTAAAAACCAAAAACCAACAACCAAACAAACAAAGGGAGAAGAGTCTCATCATGGAGGCTGTAGTGTGGCCGCTGAGTCACACCATTAACCCTTTAGTTCTTTCATCTTTACTTGCAAGTGTCCATCACAGCGAGTGGTCTGTCTGGCTTCTGCCACATCACCAACAGTGGCCCTCACCGGGACTCTCTTGGACAGCCTGTTGTTTGTTGTCCTGTGTCATGGGATCCTGCATTCTGGATCTGTAGGTTCATCCCCTTCACATGCTCCAACAGTTCACAGATGAGATGGATGTTGGGGTAGGCTAACTTACAGCCCTGGTTCCTGCCCTGGGTGGCAGCTGGGGTAGTCAGCCCGCCAGCTTTCCCCCACTGTCACCACCCAGGTAAGCTCCCCATCACTGCCGTGGCCAGCCCACCCAACACAGCACTCAGCAAGGAGCAGGGCCAGTTCTCTTGCTCCAGGTCCGTGGGTCAGATCACCCACACTCCCACCAGCAGGGCCAGCTCCACTGTCTTGCCTAGGCGAGGTGCAGCCTCCTTCTCTCTCTCTATTCCTATAGGGGGCAGACATGAGGGGGGCTTGAGTCAGCTCCTCTGAGTCTTTAAGTCCTGACAACAGGGTTAGCTGTACTGCGCTGCAGCTGGTGAGGGGCAGGGCTAGTTCTCCCTGACCCCAGGGCCAGCCCCCTTGCCTGTCCCAGGTAGCAAGGGGTGGGAGAGAGAGGGCTTTTTTCCCTCACCCACGTCACCACATGACAGACGAGGGGGACCGGGTCAGCTCTGTGTACTCACGCCCCCAGGGCTGGCTCACCTGTGTCCCTGACAACGGGAGTAGCTCTAGTGTGCTGCCCAGGTGAGGGGCATGCCCAAGGTGAGGGGTGTGGCCTTTGATGGCAACATGGACCATGGACATCTATACAAGTTCCTGGCTGTGGTAAGACCACAGATCGAAACATGGTCCTAGGCCATAGCCTGGGCTCAGACACCCCCTGGCCCTGATGGCAGCAAATCCCACCAGGTTAAGCACAGGCCCCCCCCCCCGGGGGGGTCATCCCAGACCCCTGGCATCAGCATGGCTTCCAATGGTCTCAGGAGCTATGCACATCCACTCAGACCCTGGCTGCTGTAGGGCCACGGACCCAGACATGGCCCTCAGCAGCAGCCCTGCCTGGATGACACTCTGGCCCCCAGTTGACAGCGCTGGCCATTCAACTTGGCATGGCCCAGTAGTGGCATGGCCCTTGGAGACTAACATGGCCACAGGATATGACCTAGACCCGGGGTATCTATGTGGCCTTTGGTGGTACCATGGGCCACCGGACATCAACAAATACCCTGGCTGTGGTAGGACCATGGACCCAGACATTGTCCTTGGCGGCAGCCCGGGCCCGGATGTCACCATGGCCCCAGACCCCAGTGCAGACCACTCAGATCAGCACGGCCCCTGCAGCAGCACGGCCCTTGGACACCTATCTGGTCCCAGGTGGTGGCCCAGACCACAGCTCTCTACACAGCCCTCAGTGACGACAGGAGCCACAGACATCAACTCATGCCTCCTTAGCTGCTTCAGGGCACCAGACCAAGACTGGCCCTTAGCAACAGTCCAGGCCTGGGCATCACCTTGGACTCAGGTGGCAAGCAGGCCATTCGAATCAGCCTGAGTCTCACTGCCCTCACCTCTCCAGACCTGCCTCTCCTCTGCCCATCAACTGCTCCACCTCTCTCTTCCACCTCCTACCTGTACTAGCTCACCATAATGGTGTCTGACTGCCCCGTACCGTAGGCACCTGGTGGCACTTGGCTGAATCGTGCTCCAGCCAGATGTATAGCACGGTGCACAGCTGTTGCTATCATCATGGCCAGGGGCTGGAGTCCCCAGGCAGCTCCTGGTTTTGAGTCCTGCCCCTGCCAGCCATCTGGCATGGCAAGGAGCTCTGTTGCTTTTGAGACAGTCTTACTATGCAGCCTTGGCTGGGTTAGGTCTGCTAGGCAGACCACTGTGTGGCTTCAAACTCAGAGATCCTTTGCCTTCCAAGAGCTGGGATAAAGTTGTGCACCACCACACCTATTATTTTCTTTTAAAATGACATTTCCTGGTTAAAAAAAAATACACATTCCCTCAAGAAAATTTAGAGGTTCAGAACTTAAAAACTAACAGCATCCTAATTCCCAAGTCTGGCAACTGACATTTTGCATAAGCATTTTCTCTCACAGTTGCGTAAATATACAGGTATGTATAAACATCACATACAGGTCACTTATCTTCTTTCTTTCTAAACAGGATTTCACTGTAGCCCAGGTTACCTGTGAATTCAACAGAATTCTCCTGCCTCAGCCTCTCAAGTGCTGGGATTACAGGTAGAAGCCAGCATACCTGGCTTAATAGTAACCATACCTATACAGAGAATTCTTCACTATTTAACAAACTAACGCTATGAAAAGATATATTTTGCCAATAATTGGGGGTGGGAGGTAACAAAATAAAATAATAATGATATATCACTCTACACATATAAGACTGATGAAATTCACTATGTTGGGTATACTGATCCAGAAGTGAGAAAATAAGGCTTTCTTCATGATCTGCTGGTGTCCAATAAACAGAAACCAGAAGGTTTGGAGGGAAGAAAGTAGACAGATAAGGTTCGAACAGTCTAATTCTAGTATGCCATTAAATGAGGAGTTGGACCTTTAAAAGGCTGCAAACATTCATAGTATTATAAGCAGTCATTTAATTTTTTCCCTATCTAGAGATACTAAGTTCTTATCAAGTTTTCTCTACTACAAAATGCTAGTAAGATATGTGTGTATCTATATACTTAAAATTTTTCTTTTTTCTTTTCATAGTACTTCCTAGAAATATTTTAGATATATGCACCAAAATGTAGTTATTCATTCAAAGTCTATGAACAGTAATATTTCTGATACAAAACAACAACAAAATTAACAATGCTCTAAGTAGTATATGAATTCAATAAATTCCTGACAATAAAACATTATCCTTAAAAAGTCTTTGTGATTTCAGCAGGTGAGAATAGAAAGTGATGGTTTCCAAAGCATTTTAAATATCGCAGTGACAAGAAACCTGTCCCGTGTTTATTAGCATTAATAACCGCAGTTACTCTTTACTACCTACGGTATTTAGTTAAAGTCTTCTTTAAACACTAGCCAAGGCTAGCCCCAAACGCCTGCTTCTCTTCCTTTAGCTGTCTAAGCACAGGAATTACAGGTATGCACCACATGCTCAGGCCCGCTTCTGTTCTTTCTTTTATTAAATATATTTATTTCACTTTATATGTATGAATGTTTTACCTGCACGTATGTATGCACACAGCCTGAATGCCTGTTGGAGTCCCTGAAACTGGGGATAGAGACGGCTGTATGGGTACAAGGAATCGAACCCAGGTCCTCAGGAAGAGCAACAAGTACTCTTACCCACTAAGCGATCTCTCCAGCCCCAGTCCTCTGTGTTTGTGAGGACCATATTCTACTACAATGTGTGTACGGAAAAATATGAGTTTCTTCCTAATCCAGAAAAAGACAAAATTTGGCCTTTTCTTTTGGGATCTCCTCGTATGTTTTTAAAAAGCTTCTCTTTCTCCTGCTGTCCCTTCACGGCTGGGGTTCAAGCCACCTCCCACCCGAGCCCACAATCATGTCTCTTAGTGTTGTCAGACTGGAAAGAGTACAGGTGAGGAGAAACTGGGATACCAGAGTTGGCTAAGGGGACCTGTGAAAACAGTATCCATCACTCTGGAGGGTCTCCATATCCCCAGTTTTCTGAGATGAAGTCTTGCTATGTCGAGGTTGGTTTTAATCTCACTATGGAGCCCAAGCCAGCCTTGAATTCCCAGCCCTTGTGTCTTTGTCTCGTTTCTACAGAGATTACAGGTGTGTGCCACCACAACTAGCTACTTATATTAGTTATATATTAGAAGTCATGGTGATTTTGTTGTTGTTTCTTTAAAAAAAAAAAAAACTACTTTGATTTTGAAGCTGTGTATGTTTTGTATAAAGAACAACAAAGCCCATTCTCAATTCCATGCTGTGTATGTTCAGTTATGGGGATAAATAAGTCAGTATTACTCACAACAGAAACAAAACAGCAAGGCTATGAGGCCCAATTAATATCTTCAACCATGACGACATAAGGCATGCCAAGAATGAAGAGAAGTAATAGGAAGTAAAGTCTAGGATTAAAAATACTTAGCCCTGTTGGGGCTGGACAGATGGCTCTGGCTAGGAGGACTTGCTGCTCTTGCAGAAGACCTAGATTTGGTTCCCAGAATCCCCACAGCAGCCCACAACCATCTGTACCTCCAGTTCCAGGGACTCCAGTGCCCTCCTCTGGCCTTCCTGGGCACTAGACACACATGCGATGCACAGACATACATACAAGCAAAACACTACTCATACACTCACATATATATGTATATACATAGGAAAAATAAATGTCTTAAAAAGATTTATTGTGTTTTTTTATGCAGCACCCAAATATTGGGTATTTACAGAACTACAATGGCACTATTTCATAAGCTATGAACAGGGACCACGCCCATGTTATTGCCACATCTCTCATTTCTTAAGGAAGTCCAGTTATCTCTGAAAGAGATGATGAAAAGGACCCATAAGAGAGTACACACCTGTCCAGGTGAAAAGCTGCCACCTCTGCGTTGTGTCTGTCATAACCAGCATACGGCTCCCCTTCTACCACAAAGTCTCTGCTGTACCTGCAAGGACGGGAGGCAGACAGGCAGGAATGACGTCAGTGTCGGAAATGACAGAACAAGAGGTAGAGAACCACTTCAGCAAGCCTGATCTGTTCCACACTCCCCTGTCAACCCTGAGAACTGGGTGTTCGCACACACGGCTGGTAGATGAAGAGATGAGTTCAGACAAAAACCAGACACTGTTTCTACCTCAGCAATCATTCTTTGAACAAAACATAGATGACATTGGGTTTACTTCTAAAAAAGTCTTGTGGTGCAGTGGGGGTTTTTTTGGGCAGGGTGGGGGGGTGGGGGGGGGTGGAGTGGGTTGTTTGTTTTCTTTTGTTTTTTTGGTTTTTGGAGACTGGGTTTCTGTGTGGCCCTCCAGGCTGGCCTCAAACGCAGAGATGTGCCTGTCTCTGCCTCCCCAGTGCTGGGATTAAAGGCGTGCGCCACCACCCCCCGGCCAGTGTAGTTTAAGTACAACAACCACAAGGTGAGTTTCTGGAAAGAAAGAAAGAACCATCTTTGTATCTCTAGCATAGCATTCCACTCAGAATTGTGCTGCTTAATAAATGTCTTAAAATGCTTATTAATATAACCGAAAAAGCAAAGAACGCCTTTGCTTACCAGAATGCCTATTGTAAGGCTTAGAGGAGACTTTAAATTTGGAGGAGGGGAGAAGCTCTTCCTGACACCTCTGTTTAATGAAATGGCAAAGGTACTTCTGCCAACAGTAGTCTGAGTAACCATTCCTGCTCTCTTTTCAAGTTTATCCTGGACTAGCAGTGACAGGCTAGCCTTGAGCAAACCCTTTCTGTTCTGTGTCTAGAGATTCTTATCTGTAAGACCAGGGACTGCACCAAAGTATTTCTAAGGTCTCTTTCATCTTAAACAGCATTCTGATGGATTTATGCCACAGGCATGACATAAAGGAAAACTGGAGGGCTGACTCAGTGGTTACGAGCACTTGCTGCTCTTCCAGAGGACCCTGGTTCAATTCCCATGGCAGCTCACAACTGTCTGTAACTTCAGTTTGTGAGACCCAACACCCATGGCAAAACACCAATGTACGTGGAAAAACAAAACAAAAACAAACTGGAAGGTTTCTTTCAATGCTTTTTTTTTTTTTTTTTTTTTAAAGTTTCCTCTGTGTGGACCAGGCTGACCTTGAAGTCACAGAGATCTGCCTGCCTCTGCCTCCCGAGTGCTGGGGTTAAAGGCGGGCCCACCACCGCCTGACTCAAGTGACTCATTTTTACAGATATACTTTAAACTTGTTCACTGGGAAGGAAAAAGCACCTAGCTCACCTACAGCTGCTCACTGCTCCTGAATCAGCAGGGAGCTATAGGGCTTTAGAAGCAGCCTGGGAAAGAGAAGCTCGACTCCAGTACAGAGCAGTTCCACTGAACACAGGATTTCTGATGCTCACACACACGGTGATAAGTGGGAAATGGAAGCGCAAAAGGTACTGCCCTTCAGTGGTCTTAGAACACAAAGTGGAATCCTACCTCTAAAGCATAATTTCAAGGCAAAATGATGAAGAAGCCCTATTAGAAGGCCAGCGTGCATCACTATCTTGGTGGCATCAGTTTCTTCTCAGCTTGATTCGTATACCAGGCATTAAAGTTCCTAGCACCAGTAATTACTGAGGCTTCTCAGCTTTATACTGGCTGCCTTTAAATTGTCAGTTTAAAAATACCACTGCAGCAAAAGCTGACACTCTAGCAAGCACTTTTCTCTCTAGCACAGGTGTAGGTGGCCAGACAGCTGGGGAACAGCCCTTGAATACATCTCAGGAGCTCAGCGCAGTACTTCCTTCCGCTGAAGCATTACCGACCTTGCCAATAAACCTAAAGGCTGCCGAGGGAAGAGCATGAGCCCAGAGGCATCTGGGAACGTTGAGGGTAAGCTTGACAGCAAAGAGGAGTAGGAATCAAATGAAGGAACCTCATTGGAGCCAAGTCAGAATTCTGCGCTGTATGTTTATGTGTTTTGTGTATGGGTGTGTATGCATATGTGTGTACATGCCTGTGGAGGCTAGAGGATGACCGTGATATCATTTCTTAAGCACCATCTAACTTTTTTTCTTTTCTTTTTAAATTTTATGTATCTGTGTATTTTATGTATGAGTCCTCTTTCTGCATGTATGTCTGCAGGCCAGAAGAGGGCATCTGACCCCATGTGGTTGCTGGGAACTGAACTCAGGACCTCTGGAAGATCAGCCAGTGCTCTTAACCACTGAGCCTCTCTCCAGTCCCATCTAACTTTTTGTAATCAATTTTTCATTGATATGGAACTTACTGGTTGGCAAGTGGGTCTCAGGGATCCCCCTGACTCTGCCTTCCCAGTACTGAGATTACAAGCATATATCACCATGCCTGGCTTTGTACACACACACACACACACACACACACACACACACACACACACACACACACACACACACA